TGTGTTGTGTATTGGTGTGTGTGTTGTGTGTGTGTGTGTGTGTGTGTGTGTGTGTGTGTGTGTGTGTGTTGGGTATGTGTGCGTGTGTTGAGTGTGTGTATGCATGTGTTGGGTAGGCAGTGAGGTGGCTATAGTTCTGAGATCGTGCACAGGATAACATGATGACATGTGTGATGTGACTGGGTGACAGTAGGGACACACACTGTCCCCTTCCTGGCAGGGTTCTCACTCCAGCCCAGAGGTTGCTCTAATATCACCCACAGGTCATTTCTAAGCCAGAACAGAGCTAGGGGTAGCTGCTGTGGGCAGATGCAATCCTAGCATCTGCTGCTAGGGACAGGAGTAGCAGGCTTTTGAGCTCTGCTTCCCCCAGAGAGGACGAAGCTTCTGTATGTTATTATTTTTCCCACCTGATGCCAAGCTGTTCGCATTCTCTCTTAAGATCTGCAGTTGTATATAGTAAAGCCCATGCTATGTTTCATGCTCGCCTGGCTTCTATAAACCGAACCATGTGGATAGAGATTTCCCCAGGGGGCTTTTGTAAGTTCCCAGGGATGCTCAGAGCCCTGCAGTCAAGGGACTCTCCAAGTCAGGCCTGGGTGACCCAGGGCTAGGGGTGGGAAGAGGAGAGGGAGGGTGCTGTGGGGAACACAGCCTGGCTCACAGTGGGGCAGTGCCCGTCAGTGGTAAAAGGTTGTGCCAGCGGCCTGAAAAGAATTTTTTTGTCCAGTAGACATCAGTACTCATTACTGCAGCATCTTTGGCAGCTCAAGGGCAATCTTGAAAGTTCAAAAACATAATGTTGGGCAGCAGAGCCAGGCATTGAAGGCCAGGGCCTGGCCACACTGCATCCCGCCATGTGACTCTTGCTCTTGAAACCCTTGAGATTAAAAGCAACAGTGCCAGCAGGACAGTTTCTTTCTTTGAGAAAATAGCCCTGAAATGAAAGTCAGCCATGAAAACTGGCTAGAAGGCAAGTGACAGAAGGTCAGTCCCAGCCACAGGAAGCAGAAACCAGAGCTTAACACATGCTCGTAAAAGCCTGGCTGTAGGAGAAAGACATCTGGGAGTAAATGCTGTCTTTGGGACTTGGGTGTCTCCTCTGCGTCTTCACCCATCTCTTATGTACCAGCTGTGTTCCCAAGAAGAACCAGATTCCTACAGTTTGCCTCCCACGCCTCATATTGTGTGGCCAGCCCTGGCTGTACTGAACGTAGTGTGTGGAACCTGGTATGTCCCCAGGAAGACAGACACAACCCAGAGCTTCACCCCACTGGTCGGGGAACCTGTCACACTAAAATAGGATGCTTTGGCTTGGGTCAGGAAGTAGAAGCATGGGGAGCATGGGAGGTTAGGAGAGACAAGGTCAGTTTGGTGGTGGCCTCATAGGCTCCTCTTAGAAACAGAGAAAGGCAAGCACAAAGCTGGTCAGTTGAAAACCCCTGAAGTGAGCTGGGGGGCAGAGACATGTGCAGGGAGACTAAGAGTTAAGAAGCTCTTGTAGGGAACCTACGGTCATGTGCCCAATGCAGTGTCCTCAGAGTTCCTAAGCTTTCTCAGCCCTGGATAATGAGAAACAACAGCTAAAACTCCTGGGCTCTCATCTCCACAGACAACTACAGGCTCCTTGTCACTGGAGAGATCTCCAGCCATCTCCTTCCTGGGACTCCTCTATAATGTGCAAGGCTGCCCAGGATGGGGAAGGGCACTTGTACTGGACCCGTTAAGATCTTTAGACTGCAGCTGGGAGATGAGAGA